ACAGATGAGTTTTATCGTCTCAACCAATTATACAGTATGAACACACTCAAAACATAACAGCAAGAATTTGTCCCCCTGCTGTATATTCAAATAAGCTTTTTATATTTTTTTTATTTATTTGGAGCTATCCAGAAGTTTTGATTAGACATAACTTTATTAGCTTTTTTCCTTTATTTAATTTTTATTCAGCTACACAATTATTTTCTAACTTAGACATAACTGTACACAGTCATCTGCACTGATATAACTTGAAATAAATATTTTACTATTCCTCTTTATGAAAGAAAAAGCTTCTGAAAATCCTTCGGTTTTCTACCTCGTGATCCTCAAGGCCTCGTTCTCCACCTCAGCCTAAGAAGCAGAGCTCTTATGTTAAACTCATCCTACTTCAACACCGTCAAAACTGACCATCCACCTCTCGCATCAAATTTTCTTCTTTATTTAAAGTTAAATATTTTTGATTAGCGTGCAACTTAGCCGTCTACATACAATGGCTAGTTCTGAACCTGGCACCAAAAAAAAAAAGGATTCCTTCAAGGTGACATCACCCAAAGAAAAAACAAAACAAAAGCTTTCAAGGAAAAAACTTTTTTCTTGTTTTAATTTTTTTTTATATTAAATCTGAGGTCTAAAAATGACAAGTGTTTGTTTCCTGCAGCGTTACTGGTTGTTTTTATTACAGCCTGACCGATATGGAAATTTTGGCTAATGCCAATTCCGATATATTGGCTGAAATTTTTTTAGCTTTGTCCACCCCCAAGTATCTAAGTAAACAGTTACTTTTAAACCCGTTTTAACACTTGGACGTCTTGAAACAGTCTTCCTAACAAGTGTTCACATTTTCTATCCTCTACTACTCACCATAAAGTTATCAAGTGTGTTACAAAAATATAAATTTATTTTCTTTGCAGAGAAGTACAGATGTCACACAAAGCATTTCATAGAGGACAACAAGGATAACGTTACTAACGCTGATATATTTTACCTCTACGTTAGATTTATTCTTCTGGCTAAAGCTTTACAAGGCAATAGCCTAAGCTAGGTTATCTAAACATTAGCTGCTAACTTGATAAGCACGTAGCTAATGACAAACATTGGTGAAGAGTGTTTATTATTGTTGATTTTTTTATTTTACAGATCAGTTACAATAAACTTACCATGCTCTGCTGAGCAAAATACGCTACACAGTATTTAGTTACTCCCTGCTTGTGCAGCATGGCCATGACTTGAAAGTAGTCCGCATGCGCCCTCTGCTGGATACATTGTACAATTACGTCATTTGCAAGTAAGGACACGGCTTGTTCCCAGCATTTTAGGGGTGAAAATTAGAAGTGCTTATAATATCTGGGCATAATGAGCAAATTATAACAAATACCGATGTGTCCCCAAATGCCTATATCAGCCTAAAATATTGGCTTTGGCGATATATCGGTTGGGCTCTAGTTTTTTTTTTTAATATCGAAAAATGATGTGGGGAAAAAAAAAATGAAGGTAAACAATAATTATCTGCTGGTTTTTGATTGGAGGTCAGAGTTCTTGTGCTGTTACCTGCTTGACATCACTGCCGTGGTTGGTGCTGTAGGTGATTCTGTGGCCGGGTACGTCCACGGCGCCAGGCACCCAGCTCACCTTCAGCATACTGTGGGTTACCACTGGGAACTGTATACTAACAGGAGCTGGGAGAGCAACTGTAAAAACAGGAGGGACAAAAACACAAAAGTGACCAAAACAAATAAAACAGAAAGACAAATAAAAACTAGACAATGTGTAAAAAATTGTTAAGTTATTTCTTACAAGTGCTGGCAACAAAAGTAACCGGATCGCTGGGATCTTCATCATAGAGAGCATAAAGTGTGACGGAGTAGTCTGTTTCTGGTAGTAACCCTGCGAGCTCCACCACTGTCTGATCACCGCTGAATTTCTCCTGTAGAATAAAATAATCAGCTGATTGTGAGCGACTCTTGTACGAAAATAAAAAACAGATAAAGGTGGCTGATTATGATAGCATTCCTTTCAAGAAAAAATTATTAAGATATAAAAATATATATATATTAACGACGAATCATAAATATTTGCTTTCATTTTACTCTTTTAAGGTCATGAGTGATTTGTTTCATAATTTATTTTGAAACGGTCTGTTGCAGGATGCACGAGTGACGTGATGAAAATAATTTTAAAACGTCAGTTATTTTTCTCCAAAAGAGCCAACACCATGCATGGCTTTGATTCTTCCTGAATCGGGATTTAAAAATTTCACAAACTCGCTTCTTTACCTCCTTCGCATCATCGGGCTCTCCGTCGTTGAGTGCCGAGTACAGGATCATGTACTGAGTAGCACCAGGAGCTGGACTCCAGCTCACTCGCAGCGTGCTGTGAGAGGAAGGAGCCGCCTCCAAACTGGTCGGCATGGCCAGCGGCACTGGGAGAGAGGGCAGGAGAAACGAAAAGAGGAGCGGGAAAAAAACAAAGCCACATTTTATTTAGATTATTGTGTAAGTTTGATTGATGAGGGTCATGTAAGTTTCACACCATGCCCCAGAAGGAAACCTTCTGCTCCACATAGAGTACAATGTTTAGTTTTGTTTTTAAGCCAAGATGGCCGCAGCCAAGTTTTAACCACTGAAATTATAAAAACTAAATAAATACAAATGTGCAAAGGGTCTCTGCATGAGTTAAAGATATCTAAATATTTTAGTACAACTATGCCGTGCTTTGGAAGCAGCAGTCTTAATTTAGTGTGCTACCCCTCTACTGGCACTTTTAAAACAAAGACTTTGCTTTCTGTAGCTTTTAACTGCATTTAATGCTTTAACTATAAAATATTTTACTTTATCTTGTCTTAACAAGAGGTTTGAAAATCTTTGTTGACTCGCTCATATGTTTTTCATTAGATCTTTGTTTATTCGTTTTGCTTGGCTGTTCTTTTTCTTTTTAAAATGTTATTGTTGCGTACAACACTTTGAATTAAGGTACTTATTACAAAATCGTAAAGTCAGGCAAAGCCGGTCAAAAATTTTTTTATGAAGGAATAAAACAAATTAGCACATTTGTTTGGTACAACAATTTCCTGCGGGATCAATAAAGTTCTGTCTTATCTTATATTTATTTTATTTTGTTTCTCTTAAGGATGTTTAATGTGTTTTTAATTGAAACATTGAAACATGAGAATCAAGCGTCTGTGTGGTTTTCGGCGCCACATGCTTCGTTTACAATGAAAACGACCTTTTCTTTCAAAGATCATTAAGATGGTTGACATGACCTTCTTGAAAGAGCAAAATACGTTAGAGGTTTTAGGTTAGCCTCTCTCATGTGGGGTCCCACAAGTTTCAGTTGTAGGGCCCCTCCTTTTGTTTTTATTTTCTTCAACAACTGGGTCCATTTGTAGAAAACATGAAATTTATTTTAATTTTCATGCAGACAAATGTCAATGTCCCCTGTAAGAAAGAGGACTAAGTAAAGTAATTCAGGTAAAAGTATTTATCATTCATAAGATGCTCACGTGTTGTGACGGTTCCTCGGAGCGCCAGGCCGACGTTGTGTTCATACACAGGGAAGATGGAGATGTGGTACAGCGTCTGAGATGAGAGGCCATCAAGCAGAACAGAGGATTTCGAGCCTAATAACACTACCTGTGGACAGAAAATCAGCTACAGTCAAACCAAGACTTATTTCACATGTGCAACCCAAAGTTTAAAAACGTTGTGATAAATGTAAATAAAAAACAATGTAAGGATTTACAAATATCATAAAGCCATATTTTATTCCCAATGAAAAATAGTAAACATATCCATATCGAATATCGAAACAAAAAATAATCTACTTTTTTGGTGTACAAAAAACAATTTCGTAAATAATTGCAGCAACATGTCTCAAAATTTTGAGGGACAACAAAAGATGTGGTGCAAAAACAAAAACAGCTGGAGGAGCATTTTTAATTGAGTTAATTGGCAACAGGTCAGTAAGAGCACTGGGTATTAAAGAGCATTTTAGAAAGGCTGAATCTCTCTGAAGTAAAGATGGGCAGAAGTTCACCAGTCTGAAAAAAACGTCTAACTATAGTGGAACCATTTCCAGAAGTCATTTACAAGAGAGAGCATACGGGTCTCTCTTGTAAATGAGTCCTTGTGGCTCAGTGAGACTAACCTGTATAAATAAATGAATGAAAAATTTAAGAATAACGTTCCTGAAAGAAACAATGATTTATGTCCATCAAGCTTTATCAACAAACAGTTAAAGAGCCTGTCTAAGACAGTGTATTTGTGCCTCTGGCGGTGAGGGCAGCTTACACATAAAAAAAAAGCATTATTGTAGAAAAGTCTTTATAGCTTTAGAATAACATGCACTCCCATACAGCAAAAATTATTATTATTATTATTTTAATCAGACTAAGATGACCCAAGACTGTTAACAGCTAGAATCCTACATCAGTTAAGGATGGGACAACATTCCCCTCAAGCAACTGGTCTCCTTAGATCCTAGATGTTTACGGACTGTTGTTAAAATAGTGGCGAGCCTTTACGGTGGCAAACGTACCATGCAGTTATGATTTGTTGTGTCTTTTGCACAAAGAAATTTCTAGATTCTTAAGCTCTTCTTATGACATTATGAACTGTCCATAATGGGATATTCAAAGTCTTACTAATTTCTCATTGAGGAACATTATTCTGAAATTGGTCCACTGGTTTTTAGATGCTGTTTTTCACGGATTGGTGAACCTCGGCCAATTAACCTAATTCAGTGCAAAAATGCTGCTCCAGCTGGTTCCTATCAATTACTTTTATAGCTTTTGGTGCCCCAGTCCCATTTTTCTTAGCTGTATTGCTTGATTTCAATTTCAATTTCATTTCAAATATACTTTATTAATCCCAAAGAGAAATTATTTGTTGTTGTAACTCGTTATCCTCATTTCATTAAGAGATCTTATAGATACTGATGGCTGTAGACAGGAAGGATCTCTTGTAAAAGTCCATCCCACAGTGGATCCTAAGAAACTGGCTGCAGATGCCGTCTGATCCGTTCACCCAGACTCAGCTGGCCTCTCAGTTCCCCCGGGCTGTAGGACCGCCTGAACGCCGGGCAGAACTCCTCCCAGAGCGATGGCCACTCTTCCCAGCAGTCTGCTGAGCTCCTCGTCGCTGCGGACAGCCAACTCTAGGTGCAGAGGGACGATCCTGTCCTTCAGCTGTCATGAGCCGTGTTTCCTGATAGTTCCAGGATCTCAGTGGTCAGTCACTCGAGCACAGCTGGCAGGTAGATGAGAATGCATCCACAGAACATCCTTTTCAACTCATTTGAGATTTGGGGCTGTAGTTGAGATATTATTTGAGCTTTTGAGATGTTAATCAGCTGCTGTTGGTTGTAGAAAACTGCCTTGTTGCCATGGTTACGCAACATAACAAATGTCCAGAACTAAAAAAGTTTCAGTAAAAATCCTTCCAGCTGCACAGCATCTGATACCAGAGGAAACGATCATCCAAAAAATGTGATTCACATCCAGAAAAAGAGGAATTAAAGTTTCCAAAAGCAAAATCTCAGAATGAAAGTAACAGAGCTGCTCCAACATGCAGACACCTCGAGCGGCGCAATTCTAGAATCCGTAGTCACAAACGATTTACCGGTAATATGAAAATTATGTATTTTGTTCAAAGGTTAAAAAAAAAAGTCTGCATGACTGTGGCATTGTTGTGCAGGGACACAAGACGTTGTTTTTATATTTAAACATGCAAGTATTGCAAAGGGGGGGGGGGGGGGGGCAGCATGTACTCTTGAGAAACTCCAGCAGAGTCTGAAAGACTTGCCACATACTTTGATATCAACCCCTGCTTTTTCTTTGAGATAAATATTTTCTAAAGAAAGTTTTCTTCTTTTAAAGTTTTTACCCTCACATGTATTTATACCAGTAAGAATGCTAAAAATGTGGTTTTTACTTCTGCTCTGCATTTCCTTTGCAAACAACATTTCAGAGAATCTGATACAATAGTATGGTAATAACATGAAAACATATGAAGTTCAACGTATAATTGCTACATTAGTCTGTTTGCAGACGATGTGATGATGTGTTCCTCACCTCCTGGGGGCTTTGACTGTCAGCACTGTGGTACACTACTCTGTACTGCTGGACTGGTTTCGCTGGATTGGTCCAGTGCAGCTTCACCTGCCTGGATCCGAGTTCAGAAAACCGTAGATCAGCGGGGCTCGGGTAGGAGAGGGCTGGGTCTGCCGTCGGCACGGGCTCCATTCCTGGAAGTAAAATGAAATGGAACTTCAAAAGACAGCGATGATATCAAAATCAAGAAGGATGACAGATTTACTGAGGTGCGGTGTACGTTTTGTGATGCCACGGTCTTTTATCCTTCCACACAAGATGTGAACCAGTCGTGCCACCAGTTTGCTGAGCAGGGGGAAGTCGTTGACGTTGTAAACATTTAAATCAACGGGTTCTGATGCCACCTGTCTCAGCTCAGCTTCGTCTGCATTCTTCACACCTGAAAAGTTGTGAAATTAACCAACCAGTGAAGCTCTGAACAGTCACACCCCCGTGAGTTTTCCAAAGCTGCAAAAAGAAAATCAATCTCCTCGCCTCTACTTTTCAGTCTCACCTACAGCAATGATTTCAACGCCTGCGTTCTTCAGCCGGTTTGCTGCCGCGATCGCATCGTCCTGAGACTTCCCGTCAGTCAACAAGACCAAGAAAAATGGGGCTTCCGGTCTCGCGCCTGCCTCAGACTTCATGTTTTCCTCCATGACGTGGAGCAGGGCCTGTCCTGAAAGATCGTCTGGTCACACTCTAACAGACAGCCGTTGCTGTGAAGTGTTGACGGCACACCTTGTGTTGGATTCCTACCTGTAAATGTGTTTCCTCCTTTGTACCTAAAATGTCTCACTGCCTCCAACAGCTGGTCTTTAATGCTGAATTTGTTGAGGTTCCACTCTGTGCGGGGGTCTCCACTGTACTGGGTCAGACCTGGCAGTGGAGAGTTAAGTTTTATATTTATTTATTTAAATGAAATGTGTTGCCCGTTATATTACATCAATGTTTTAATTGACTGGCTGCATCTGGAGATTTTTATATTGAAGCTCTCAGTGCGTAATCATTGGCTTTACTTTTTACAATTAAGTTTTTGACCCAACCCAAATCAAGATGACTGCCACAGCCAACTGACCTTGGAAAACACAAAATTAGCAATAATCGCTAAGTCTTGAATTTAAATATGTCTAGGGTTGTTTGTGAAAAATCATAGAGAGATAGTCTTTTGTTTTGTGTTGGTATTTTTCAGTCACTGCTCCTTGGTTCTTTATCTTTGTTCTTTATCTTTGTACCTTTTAATACTATTGCAACTACATTTTGTCTTGTGACAAAAAAATAAGCCCAGAAAAAAAAAATGCAGACAAAACATGAAAGTGGTATGAAAGAACTGCTCTCTCTAAAAGTCTTTCTAAAATAAATTAAACTAATTGTTGCATATTTTAAAAAGCTATGCCTACATCACCCTTACACCACGTGTGTGACCCTTTAATGACAAAACAAATAGCTGCAGGCTTTGACAGTATTTCATGAGTCTGAAAAGACATGTAGAATAATTTTAGAACATGAATGAATGACTTTGTAACAATTTGTGTTCGATAAATTGATTAATCTAAACTTTGACTTTTCACAAAGCGATTTCAGAACGGTTAGCAGCGAGAGATCAGGCTCCTGAAGATGACTAATCAGCGTAGAGAAAGTTTATCCAGTTGACTACCGTATTTTTCGCCGTATAGTTGGCAACTTTTTGCATAAATTTGAAAGTCCTGCGACTTATACGCCGAAGCGACTAAAATAATTTTTTCCTCCATATTTATAAAACAATTTTGGGCAAAGATCTGACAATTTCATTCATTCAGACATGGAAAATACTGAACACTGCCATTTCATTTTAATTTTAATATTTGTGCTGCTGTTGTTTGGCGCATTGTTTTGTACTAGTAGGGGCGGCTGTGGCTGAGCGGTTAGAGCAGTCGTCCTCCAATGCGAGAGTTGGGGGTTCAATTCCACCAGCAGCCACGTGCCAAAGTGTCCCTGGGCAAGACACTGAACCCCTAAATGCCTCCGATGTGTGTCCCATTGGTGGATGAATGTGATAAAGCACTGATCAGTCTTTGTACAGAAATAGTAGAGTGCTGTATGAATGGGTAAATGAGGACACAGATTGTAGTGTAAAGCACTTTGAGTGTCTTCAGATAGAAAAGCGCTATAATTTAATAATTTAATATAATAACATTTAGTAGTGCTTAGTGTATTCTTAGTTTATCGTATTTCTTAGTTCATGTCTTGGATCTTATTACTGTTTTTCTTTACAATTTGTATTTTTGTTGGAGGTAACTGGGACCCTGCGTACAAAGTTTCGTTCCACCTCATGTACCACGTGTGATGTGAACGACAATAAAGAACCTTGAATTCTTGAATTCAGCCGCTAGAGGGCCCTCGACCAATGTGGCAAGCCAAGTGTCTCATTAAAAGGTAAAAGTGGCTTTTAATGAGACTCTTGGCTTGTCATGCTAAGCTACATTTGCCTCGCTCCGGAACTCCTGGAGCAAACGTCAAATCAGCTGCATTTCTCCGCGCTGCCCAGGCGAAATGCAGCTGATTTGACCACCAAAGTGCATTTATTAAGGAAACGTTAGACTGAGACACACCTTTGCTATAATTCCGAGCAAACAAATAATTGTTATGATGTTAAATCCTTGTTAAAGCCCTCCCATGCACGCTCACATGACTGCCATTTGGCAGCCAATCGATTTTTGACACAACACCGGCCCACGTTTCCGGGTTTTTTTTGTTTGTTTGTTTTTTAATTCCTTTATTTTACCAGGAAGAAATCCATTGAGATCATCAATCTCTTTTACAAGAATGTCCTGGACACTGGGTTGTCAGCGGTGACGCATAACAGATGCGATTTATACGGCGAAGCGACTCATTTATGTTTTTTTTTCTTCACTTTATTAAACACAACTGGACTGATGTGACTTATACGGCGATGCGACATGCACGACGGCAAGTACGGTACTCTGTGTTCAAGAATGGTAGCACCTGAGCAATTTTGTGATGTTGCATTTATTTTATAATCAATAAAGTAATTATAACACTTCTCCTGGAAATGTGCAAAAGTACAAAACATTTGGCACATTATTTATGAAACGTTCCTATTTTTTGCTATAATGTTTTATTTTAGGTGAAGTTCAGATTTAGGTTCAGATAGTGACCAAACCCGTTAACCCAGATAAGCTGGTCCTCACCGATCTGAATGTGATCTGGCCCAATGTGGAAAGGCGTCATCAGACCCTCCAAGAAGTCCCTGACCCGCCTGAAGTTGGTGCGTCCGATGCTCCAGGAACCATCCACCAACAGCATGATGTCTGCTGCTGCGTCGCTGTCACACTCGTACGGTTTCCGCTGAGACATCCCTTAACACAAAACTCTAAAACTTATTTTTCATGCTGGTATTCTTTTTATTTATATTATTATAAATAGGAAAAGTTGTTTAAAGCATCGTGGTTTGCACGTGTTCAAACAGGATTTAAACATGTCTACCACACATGACATTATTGAACTTATTGAATGAGAGGGTCTCTGAGCTTCGACGTTATGAAGGAAAACAGGACACACATGGCCTGCAGCAGAACTGGACGGCCTGTCATTATCCTCCCTCATGTGCACACTGTCATCACATGTCAAACCTGCACTTACTGCTCCAAAGTCTTTTTTTTTTTTTTAGCTCCTTAGAGGAGCTGAAGGTCTGCTCAGAGTTGAACTTTGATAACTTCATGCTTAAGGGAAGTTTTCATAATATGTTTATGTTTTGGTCCATTTAAAAACTGAAGCTAAAACCTAAAATGTTGCCACAATTTCTGTGACGCTGGAGAACAAATACCTCAGACTAAATGTGTGGAAAACATTGTTCTGAGAGTTTACCCTGTTTTGTCCCCGGCTCCTCTTTGGTCTCCGCGGTGGAACGATGTCGCTCCTTGTCCTTCTTCCTCTTCCTTTTCTCCGTGGTAATTTTCTCTGGGGACTCATCAGGGAGTTCAGCAGGGGTTTTTGTAGCTGGGGGCTCTGGAAGCCAGAGGTAATGATACGTACATGGGTGAGGCTACATTAAGATAAGCAGAGATTGTTTATAAGACAAACTGAAAGTCTATTTAACAGGAAAGTATCAAAGGGAAAAGTGTGGGGGAGGGGAAAACAATGTTGCTATTAACAAACATTTTATTTTAGGATAATCAGAAGAGTTATTTTCTTGTTTCAAATAAATAATGTTCATTATCATAATCATTCCAAATAATCCCTTTCCCTTCACTGCTTTGCCCACCATCTATCCCTCTTGTATCTCCCACGTTCTGGGCTTTCTATTGTATTCCTTTTTTTTTTTTTTTTTACATTTTTTTGTCTAATTCTAGTAGAAGCAAGGTGCTACAACTGTTGGTGAAACAAACTATATTTAGGAGTCTTTCTAAGTTGATGGAGATGACAACAATAGCCGTTATAATCGGAGCAAGACGGCAACGTTCCTGCGTTAAGTTGCAACCTGTGTCTAACGCCGACTACAGTCATGGTACAAAGTATAACCCCTTCCAATTCTTCGTTTTTATACGTCAGGAAACATTTTGCATTTGATCTTCATCAAGACATGAAATGACGACAGGAAGAGAAGAGTCCAGGCCAGAGTGCAAAGGGAGGTTGTTACACAATTTAATTTACGCTCGGCTTTGGGACTGTGATGGGCTGACCTGCAACATACGGCGTCTTATTCTCAGCCATTTTTGCTCATCATCGTTCTCAGAGTTGAGATGTCAAGAAAGAAACAATTCAGCTTTAAAGGAAATTTGTCCTGTAGTAAGCTTTTTTTTGTTTAAGTGAAAACTTAAATTAAGGTGTAAAATCCTAAAGCAAGCAAATAATTCTTGAAATCAGCCTGTTCAAGAACGCATAATACTCAATTTAGGTAAAGACTTTCTACATATCAGGGTCTCTTTCCTTGTTATAAATCAAATTTTCTTAAACGAAGCACACAAAATCTTAAAATCAGCTTAATCATGTAGGCATAACACTCATTCTAAGAAATAATTTCTTAAGAAAGCAGTGTTTGCTTGTAAGAAGTGAAATTTTCTTTAATTTTGGACAATTTTGTTTAGTTTAAAAGGGACACAGCAGTTAGTGTCATTTGCTAGTTTTAAGAATCCTAGCTAAGCAACTTTTGCTTACCCCAATGGCAGAATTATTTTCTCAAAACAAGACAATTTGGTCACATTTAGGAGCATATGGCTTATTTCAAGTACTGTTTTTGCAGTGTGAGTGAACAAGTGGCTGTGAAGAGACAAGACAGCTCAGAGAAGAAGGGCAGGACAAGAAGGGCTTTAAAGCAAATTAAATCATTTTAAACTGGTTCGTTTGTATGGGTCAGAGATTTGATCCTTCCAAGGCATAATTGAAGATCCATCATCCATCCATCCATTATCTTTACCCGCTTCTTCCTTTTCAGGTCACAGGGGTCACTGGTGCCCATATCCAGCATTTACTATGTGAGAGGCAGGGGACACCCTGGACAGGTCTCCAGTCCATCACAGGGACACAGAGACAAACAACCATTCACTCTCATTCACACCTAGGGACAATTTAGAGTTACCATTCAACATAACATGCATGTTTTTGGTCAGTGGGAGGAAACTGGAGCACCCAGAGAAAACCCACGCATGCACGGAGAGAACATGCAAACTCCACCCAGAAAGGTCCCAGGCTGGGATTTGAGCCAGCAACCTTGCTGCTGACAGGCAACAGCTCTACCAACTGTGCCACCGTGCGACCAGCACGAGTTCCAGTTCCAGTTTAAAATAATGTATCTTTCTGATTTTATATTAGGTCTCAACACTTAAAGCATGAGGTTTGAAAGTGAGAGGGAAGCAGCTTTTTACTTTAATTCAATCTACAACCAGGACCATGGCTGCTCCTCACAACGTAGCAATAAAACTAATAAAAATACTGTAGTGAACTAAGCCTCAGGTCAAATCCTGACCTTGAGGGCCTTCCTGGGACAAGAACTGTATTTCATTGATTTGAGTCCAGAAACACAAAATCAAGTCCATCCAGAGACTTTCTAAGTGTCCTGCACTGATCAATTGAAAGAACACTCTCTTTTTTATTATCATTACTATTTTCTTGATAATCAAAGTGTATTTAGTTCAAACCATTTTTAAATGTTGAAGTGAACTACTCATTTTAAATCAACTGTGAAACAGTATTAATGAATTTTTAATCCTCATTCAAAGTAGAAATCAAGTTAGAATGTGTTACGGAGTAATTCATGCATTTTCTGAATTTCTGTCTGAAATGAACAAATGTAAGTTGGTCCAAGGTTGGAGGCAAGCGCAAACAAGTTGTTGGAACGAACTGTCATGTTTTTAAATCCTCTCAGACGTAAATAGAGAAGCTGGCACCTGTTTTCCCCCAACTCGCCTAAACATTTCTCTCGTCTGTCTCAAAAACATCTTCTGTCCGTTCCAAAACAATTTTTCTGTTTTTCTGACTTCTAGTGACCTCTTACGTCACAAAAACACACCCCTGATTAGCTATTTCAGCCAATCAGGACTTCCCAAATGAACCGGAAATAGAACTCTTTAAATGTCGGCACTTCCTAGTTCCAGCCAGTCGAGTGTGCGGTGGGAGAGCAGTTCAGTTCGGAGAGCAGAACCGAACAGAAAAGTTGCTGGAGCGAACAGGAGGTTCAGACATGATCCGCAGTTCTTCCGAGTCTTGTGGGAATTATGGAATCTTCCACATCAGAGTGGAACTCTGACGGACTCACAACTCATGTGAGTCCACCCGTGAGGTGAACGTGTGTCGAACAAGTACCGTCACTACTCCGGACGTTTCCCAACCATCCTACGGAGACGCTGGAAATGGTAGCGTTAAATGGAACTCCGCACCAGCTGATTCATCTTCAGAGAGGTAACGAGTCGATTTCCTACCGAAGCGTACCGGGGCGAAACTGGGTTCGGATGGAGAGTGCCGTTCTTATACTGACACATAACAACCCCTCATCCATCTTCTCTCTCAATTTAAACTTCATTTCCATCTTTAAACTCTTCTATCTTGCTAGTAATTAATCCAGATATTTTCAGAAATGTCTGTTGTAATGCTTGAAGTGGGGAAATCATGGCCGTATGGTTTCCTCCTTGTAAAACTTGCTAATTAATTATGTTGTTGTTGAAATCAATTTGCCAAATTAATGTAAATGGTTGATGTTAAACTTTGATTCTGTTAATAAATGACCGCATTCATTTGATGGGTCAAAGAAAATTAACGTCTCACGTTACATTTAATAATTCAATGCACAATAGAACTCAGTCCAGAAAAATGAAAGAATCCGTTTAATTTATGGATAATATATCACAGATATATGTTCATCTACAATACCATAATTAGAAATTCCATAGCAAGCAAAGTGTAACGACTGTATGGCTGAGTTCTGCCATGTTGTTCCGATGGTGTTTTCTTTTCATGTCCTCCGTGCTTAGGCCATTATTTTTACAAGAATCAGTGTGACTTGCCTCTTATGCTGTCATTATACTGTAACCAGAGTAACATGGTCGCGTGTGTGTGTGTACCGGTAGTATGTTAACTATTACTGGTAGCATGAAATACCTGTGGTTGTGACAGTGGCAGCAGTGGTGGTCGTACGGTCTGGGAATCGAACTGTTGGCAGACCCACCAGTAGCTCCGTCACATCGTCCAGATCTCCTGACCCCGACCCGCCAGGCAGCGTCTTCTTCCTGCTCTCACGACCATCGCTGCGGATCATCTCTTCGTCTCGCAGACCCTCCACTGAAAGACATCAAACGCAGCACAAACATGAGCTCATGAACATTTTACATATTAATAACAGAAACTAATGCAAAACATCTGGCGGTCAGTGAGTGACGAAAGCAACTTGTTTTTAAAAACTCACTCATTTTGCACGAAGCACTGTTGAGTTATAGGTTTTGTCTTGAACCTGACGGGGTAATATATCCACTAAAAGGGCAGCCTTGCAGTTATGTCAATTACTTCTCGTTTTATAAATGTAATTACTATAATTCTGGACAATTGGGATTTTTAAGCAAAGTTGCGTAACAAAGAAAAACATTCACGTTTTACTTTCTTTGTTTATTCCAAAGTATTGCATGGCAGCTAACAAATCAAAATCAAGACTGGAGACATTATATTTCACTACATTGATGGACTGAAGTCATAGGTGAAACTAAACATGTTGGATTCAAAAGTGGGGCACGGTAAAAATCCATAGCCTGGAGTTAAGGAAAAAGGAAAACAGCAACAAAGTGATGGCGAAATGTTCAAAAAGTAAAAACTGCCTCAACATAATGACCCATTCTCAGAGCAAGGACTGGGCCCCCGAGGATGAAGACGCATCACAAAAGAATTCCCAGACTGCCTTCATTCCAGCATGTCAGTAGGTGTTACAAATTTCCAAGTCGAGCTCTTTTTCTAACCTGCCGGAGCACGTTCAGCTCATCATAAAAACCTACTATCCCGTGTTTTGCAAGAGTCCGCGGGCTACGACCACATTTCATACAGTCCTGTGCTCCTGGAGTCTGACAATAAAATGCAAAAAGTAAAGAAATCGTCAGAAAACCAGTCAACAAAGAGCCTTGATGGGGTTGAAGTCCACATTTTTCTTTTGACTTTTTAAGAAAGTAACTGTAGTGCAATTATTGTCCTCATAGAACCGTTCCATAGTGCAGGAAGGCATTTTTAAAGCTGTATTTTTACCCAGGATAGTATATTTACAGTCAAGGAGACACTCAGTTCATTAAAGGGTACGTGTTGAATACAATCCATGTTTACTAAGAATGTCAAAAACTGAACAAAGGCTTATGGCTCTCCTGTGTTGCCAGCGTGATCTCGCAGTATTGCTACAACAATTGTGTTTCTTTTGAAGCACTGCCAGGGTTTTTGCAGTGGGTTGCACAAGTATTCATCCCTCTTTGTAATTCCATCTAATTTGTTCACTTACAACCTAGAATTTAAAAGGTACTTATATATTGTCTTTCTATCTTATCAAGATCCTCAAAACACTTTAAAACACAATCTGTGCCCTCATTTACCTGCTGATACAGCACTCTGTTATATCTTTACAAAGATTAATCAGTGATTTGTCACATTCATACACCGATGGGACACACATGAGGCGTTCAGTGTCTTGCCCAGGGACACTTGGGCTTGTGACTGCTGGTGGAATCAAACCCCCAGCTCTTGCATTGGAGGACGGCTGCTCTAACCACTCGGCCACAGCCGTCCACAATTTTAATTGTAGTTTAATTAGGTTAAAGCAATAATTCTACAAAAAGTACTTCAAATTATTGAAATAGGTGTAAAAAAAAACATTTAAATAAAAAAGGTGCATTCCAGATGTTTTTTTTAGATAGATTTAAAAAAGTTTTTAATAAATACTTATTACACGATCTTGTTTTTAATTTTTACCGGAGATGCTTTAAACATGTTTTTGAAGTTGAATTTAAAACATTCTGTGGTTTCTTACTGGTGAATCGTCGTTTTGCAAGAAGTTTCTCTGTGGTCCCATTCAGCACGAAGACTTGGAGAGAGTATTCCTGACTGGAGTCCAGTCCTGCTACTGTGGCCCGGCCCCGGGTGGTGGTCAGCATCAGCTCTGGTTGTGGTTCCTCTACAAAGAAAAAAAGACTGTTTATCGATGTATACATTATATTTTATTGAAGCTGATTTTTTTTTCTGTGTGATCTTCATTTTTCGTTCATTTGAAAATTCTGTTGCCGTGTTGCTCCACTTTTTGACCAGTTTACTATCTAAAGCCCCTTATCCACAGGGCCGGTTCTTGTTGGACCCTGTTGTGTCCGGTTCTGGTGGGACCTCTTTTTTTCTGTCTCTGCAGTGCCCATAGTTCCCGTTTAGTGGGCGGATTGTTCACCTCTAGTGGGCGGATTATTAAAATCAACGCACCTTACCAGCTGGTGGCGCTAATGCTACATTAAGCTCTTTTCTAAGCACCACTAACATGTATTAGAAGAAGAAGAGCCGGAAAACAACACAACACAAAATGGATGACCTCCTTGATCTCCGCCCTCAACCAATGAATACGCCCCATGACCAATCGGTGACCTACAGTGCGCTGATGTCACATCTAGACCCAACAAGAACCAGACCTGGGACCTCAGAGAAGTAGGTCCCAAAAATGGGGTGGGTTCCACCGCTGAAGGCACTGTGGATAAACCACGCAATCGGCCCGAACTAGTTACATAGGAGCCCCAAAAGACCCTGTGGATAAAGAGCTTAAGTGTTTTTATGTCTCACCTACGGTTCTTTTTTGGCTCCACTATCTGCATTGCAAAGTAGATGCCGAAGCAGCTCTGGAGTCTTGGCACTGACTGGAGACACTTTGTCTTCGTTATTTGAATAACACGAAAAACTGCGAGGTGTGGCAAGATAATAATCCCTGATGGCGGTAACCTCTCGTGTTCCTCTTTTTATGAGATAATGCGCCCTGCCACGCTGCAGAACTTTATCGAGAATGGTTTCAGATACATGTAGCAGTATGACCGTTACACTTCAGGTATCAGAGCCTCACTGAAATCAGTGGACACACACACACACATGCACAGATTTACTGGGGTTTGTGTGTATTATTCCTTCTGACTGAGCATGATGTTAGAGTGCACTCAAGATAAAATAATTCTGATTCAGCCATTGCACAACACACTCATACCTGGATCTTGGAAGCAGTGCACTCTGCCCATCACCTTCTAGATATCACATGCGACAGCTTTCACAACTTCAGCACAGCTAAGAAAACATTCCTACCTGAAGTTGTTCTGACTCGGACTTTGTAGCCCTGAACGGGTCCATCAGCCTCCTTCCATTTCATCTGCAGTCTGTCCTCAGACAGCACCGTCAGCTTAAGACGACCTTGGTAGTGACCAAAAAAGAAAAAGTAAAATTAGGATTTAAGGGTCGCGGCTAAGGTGCAGGGGATACGAGCGCGGATCATGTTCGAGGCTAGTCCTCATTGCGGTGGTCGCGGGTACGAGTCCTGGTCCAGACGACCTTTCCGCAAGGTCTCCCCCTCTCTCTCATCCAGTTTCGCCTCCACCCTCTACAACAAAAATAGGACACTAGCACCTCAAAATGGGGGAAAAATAAATAAATAAATAAAAAGATTAGGATTTAAAATGGTCTGTGCACGTTGTCAAGTCACTTTAACTATTAGGTCAAATATGACAGCTATGAGAGTTTACAGGATCAAAATCTCAAACTGGAAATCTATCTTTTATTTTTGCCCCATTCTCCAGGGAGGTCTGAACCCCCCTTCCTTTTTTCCATAAATTAAATCCATCTCCTGTTCTGACTTAATCTACATAATTTCCAGCAGGAGTTTCTCAACAAGTGATGTCTTTCATGTGTCTCTCTTCCCATCTTCCCTCCATCCATGTCTCCAAGCTGCCCCCTCATCCATCAAAGCAGAGCCTGTTCTCCCGACTGGAGCAGAAAACAGGAACAGGATTCCAGTTCAGGACGGTCGGGCCAAAGGTCATGTCAGAAGAGCATCACTCAGTAACAGTGTGACAGGGTACTAAATGTAATGTAATGGTGTAACAAATGAAGAGGAAGACAGATGGGAAGGAGAAACCGGAAACAGGGAAGACGCTGTTTTTATCACTTCTGTAGATCCCCGGTTCTCAACAGATTCTTCTGACTTTTGGTTTGTGCATAAACCAGGGGCCTCTGGAGAGTCTTCTTCTGTGGATCAGGAAGGGTCTGATGGCTTTTGTAAAGAAAAGATCAAAGTCTAATAGACGTACTGACAACAACATGTCCAGACAGAGGAGTTGATATCCTGAAGAATAATCTCTGTATTGTACATTTTTCTCTGTGGGATTATCTATAGTTTTTATTTAATCACTGAACTAAGGACACCTTTCTGTCTAACAGATTACTCCACTCAGGATATATAGAACAAAATAACCACCATACAAAAATGACCAAGGAAACATAAATAAATAAAAAGTAGGATAAAAATTATTAAACTGCACTGCGGTCCAAGTGGATGTAAGATAAATTAAGACATTACCTTGGCCGTGGACCCCTGAGGACAGCAGTAGGAAGACACTGAGCAGGAAACACAGCATCAGCCAGAAAGACGGAGTTGAGGCAAGACAGTGAGAAGACATGAGTGGGGCCTAAAAACATACAATGTAATATTAGTGTTGTCATTTTGTTTTATTTTTATTTTCAGGTAGATGACAACCGAACAATGGTCGAACCTCGAATCCAAGAGGAACAATGTGGGTTCTGTCCTGGCTGTGGAACACTGGACCAGCTCTTTACCCTCACTAGGGTCCTCGACGGGTCGTGGGAGTTTGCCCATCCAGTCTACATGAGTTTTGTGGACTTGGAGAAAGCATTCAACCATGATCCTTGAGATACACTGTGGGGGGTGCTCCGTATGGGATTGGGGGTCTGTTGTTACGGGCTGTTCAGTCCCAATACAAGTGGTGCGAGGGTTTGGTTCGCATTGCCGGCAGTAAGTCGGACCCCTTCAGGATAAGAGCTGGACTCGGTCAGGGCTGCCCGTTGTCCCCGATTCTGTTCATAACTTTTATGGACAGAATTTCTCGGTGCAGCCAGGTAGTGGAGGGTTTCTGGTTCGGTGGTCTCCGGATTCCATCTCTGCTCTTTGCAGATGATGTGGTCCTGTTGGCGTCATTGTGCCGTGATCTCCAGCTCTCACTGGAGCGGTTTGCAGCAGAGTGTGAAGCGGCTGGGATGAGAATCAGAACCTTCAAATCTGAGGCCATGGTTCTCAGTCGGAAAAGGGTGGATTGCTCCCTTCAGGTCGAGGGTGAGGTTCTGCCTCAAGTGGAAGAGTTCAAGTATCTCTGGGTTTTGTTCATGAGTGAGGGAAGAATGGAGCGTGAGATTGACAGATGGATTGGTGCAGCATCTGCAGTACTGCGGACTCTGTACCGGTCCGTTGTGGTGAAGAGAGAGCTGAGCTGTAAGGCAAAGCTCTCCATTTACCGGTCGGTCTACATTCCTACCCTTCACCTACTGTATGGTCATGAGATCTGGGTAGTGACCAAAAGAATGAGATTGCGGATACAGGTGGTTGAAATGAGTTTTCTCCGCAGGGTAGCTGCTCCTTAGAGATAGAGTGAGAAGTTCAGTTATCCAGGAGAGACTCAGAGCAGAACTGCTACTCCTCAACGTCGAGAGGAGCAGTTGAGGTGGTTCGGGCATCTGGTAAGGATGCCCCCATGGCGCCTCCCTAGAGAGGTGCTTCGGGCATGTCCAACTGGGAGAAAACCCAGGGAAAGGCCCAGGACACGCTGGAGAGACTATGTCTCTTGGTTGTCCTGGGAAAGCATTGGAATCTTCCCAGAAGAGCTGGAAGAGGTGGCTGTAGAGAGAGATGTCTGGGCCTCCCTGCTCAAGCTGCTGCCCTCACGACCCGACTTTGGAATAAGCGGAAGATGATGGATGGATGGATGGAAATAATTACGGTATGCACACAATGTACATCACCTTTGCTCCTAAAAAATAGGCACATTTCTCATCCATTCCTCAGGCTTTTTCTCACTCTTAAAACGGCACTAAATAATCGAGTCAAAATCTTCACAGCCATCTCTCCCAGACTTTTCCGTACCTCCACTGGTTGATCGTCTACTGTAAGACGTTTTAGCATGCTGGGGAATCACCTCGTTAAGGCTAAAAATATTAGTTTACATGTCAGTCTGTGTTATTTTAAGTGTGCTGCAGACTCAACTAAATGAATTCAAACTAATTGTGTCATGATGCCTAAAAATCCTATTTAAAATGAGTTATTTTCTAAATTATATAATTTATAAACTTCAGTTTAGGAGCCTTTAATGCATGACTGAATCAGAGTTAAGTGGCTTAACAAACAAACAAACAAAAAAACTTCAGAAAGTGGTGTAGTACAAAAGCATCCAAAGTCAAAAAGGAGAATTATTATTCAAGATCATTTCAAATGATTACAAGAAAATCTGTTTCTTTGAAGGCAAAATATAAAGAAACGAGCGATGGCTCAAGACTTTTGCACAGCACAGTAGCCTATTTAGTTGATTTTTTGTCGCTTTGAGCAGAGACAAAAATAGGTACATTACTCTGAGTGCTGACTGAACAGTAATCCTAATTTAAAACTCTGAATTTTGTCATTTCCCACCAGGGCCTTCATTTTTGTCTTTCGGCTGCTTCCTTCTTCAGGAGTCGCCACAGACAGTAGATTCTCTCAGACTCGTCTCCAATTAAATAAATTAATATTTATAATAAGGAAATATATTAATAGGAAATATGTATTGGCTAGTATTTTGGGATATTGAGAATGTGAGTTGATCATAAGTAGGAAAAGTCTATTTGTCATCTATTTTATATTTTAAAGATAGCCGTAGCATAATTTAGAACTTTAACTCCAACAAAAGCTGCTTAGTTTTCATTTTAGTGCAAAAAAACTTTTCAAAAACTATTTATATTCCAAATATTAACAAAGTTGTTTTGTCAACACATAATCTTTTTCACCAGCAAATGTTGAAATGACAGTTGTCTACTGTAACAAACATAAACTTTGAAGCAAATAATGGTTTCTAATGTTTATTTCAGGATAAAATGTATTTCATTTGATAAAAATAAATAAAATGCATTTAATTATAATTTATTTGAATTAATTTATTCATTAAGAAAAATATCAAACACTGAAAAAGCTTAAAAACAAACATCCGCTATAAGTTTCATGACTATTTCTAAAAAAAAAAAAAATGTAGAAACGCACATTTTTTGTGACAACTTGTCACAATATTTAATGAAAATTCAGATTATTCCACATTTAACAATTCAAAAACTTACATTTTATTAACTCAATCATGATCTTGACATCATTTTGAAGCTCGTTTGATAAACGCATTCGTTTAACAAACATTTTTAGAAATTTTGTCAGCATAAGTACCTTTTTAAATTACTTTTATCAGCCTGTATTTTTTATTTTAATTACGAAACTGAATTGAACAAGTATGCAATTTGAGTTCCACAAAAAGGACTTCTTAATGACATTATTTACTGCAGGGGGTCTCAAATGGTCCTGTTCTGGACTCACATCAATCCTTAATCATAAGTCTTGACACAAATTGAGAAATATTTTAACTTTTCAAATTTACTGAAAGAAATTATGGTTTTGTTTCAACCTGAGATAACAGATAGTGTACAGAATATAAAAGTTTTCACTAAGCAGGGATGCTAAAGAGAAATTTTACATTTAATGCTCAATTAGTGGCATTTTAATTAAAACATCAACTTCAGCCGTTTTTACCAGCCAGTGCTTTTATGCACAAATAAAAAAAATAACTAAGTACGAAGCTTTAGCTGAAGACACATATATAACAATGTCTTGTTAAAACTTATTTATTCAATCAATAACAAGGCTGACACAATCAGAACTCTGATTTTTGTCTAAACGTTTCTCGTCCACGGCCAACTTTTGGGTCACGACCCACCAGTTGAAAATCACTGCTTCATGTAGTCAACATGTGGATAATGATTTGATGTTGCTTGGAGCAGCCTCTGCGAGAGTCCAGCACAAATCAGCACCAGTAACCGAGCGCTGCTCAAGCATTGTGGGAGCTGTTGGTCCATCATGGTGCAGCCAGGTGTGGTGGTTCCTACCTGAGACCAGGTGAGAGCAGGTTATTCCCCCAGACAGCCTCCACACAGCATTCCAGAGGCGGGATGTCAACAGAAACTCTGCCGGGCTGTGAAAGCAGCTCTGCTCATATCTGAGGGGCTGAAATGTGAGAAGCAGCCGGGTCCTCCTGCTGCTGCTCCACCCTGGGAGTGGCTCCCCAAGGAATGCTGCCAAGACCCTCCTGCACACACAAAAAACTGAGATGTGCAGCCAACAGGAAGTTACTTTTTAAAGCAATACACTAAGTTTGCCGACCAGAATTATTAGAAGATAAAAACATATTTTTGTTACGCTTCAAGTGATTAAACAGGTGTTCAACAGGGAGCAGGCTCAGGATCCTCAAATATGACAAACACTTAAAAATACAATTTTTTGTTCAAAATGCAGCACAAACCTAATCTGTGGTTTCTTCTGTAAAACTTTTTCTTTTTAACTTTGGTGCAAAAGAAAAGAACAAATGAGACATTTGTTTCTTTGTGCTGGTTGATGAAAATCTTCAACAATTTATTCAAATATGAAACCGTTTTCTTTCCACATCTCTTTATTTCTCAAAGGATTACAACATCAGTATTCGGTTGTTTTTTTTTTAAATCATAAAAAAATAGAAACATTTTTATAAATATTTTTAAATTTATGCAAATTTCCAACATTGTGCATTATCAAAATATTTTCTAAAAGCCGTTATGACTGCTTTAATTAAGGCACAGAAAGCTCATTGTTAGTGTTTTAAATTAAAATTCAAAAAGCTAGACAAGGAATGTTTCTAAAGATTTAAATGTTAAAGTTCAAATGTCTACTCAAACTAATCAGGACAAACATTATGAAATCACATGGATAAAACTAAGGGGATCTTTTACGTTAAAATGTTGTCATTTTAGGAACAAAACTTTAACACAATCAAGGATGTAAAATTTAACTGCAAGGCTTCAGAAACTCTTAATGATTCTTAAAGAACAGTAATATCTTCAAATAAATTAGAAAAACAAGTTGGACAGCCAAGCACGCTAAGGTAAGCCAAATGTCAAAATACAATTTTGAGAAAGGACTTTTCACATTTCAACAAAGTTCAGTCAGGTCATCTGGACGTAGGCTTGTCACGATAACAAATTTTGCTGGGCGATTAATTGTCTCAGAAATTATTGCGATAAACGATAATATTGTTTGAAATTTGACAATAATTAGTAATTATTGTCAAATTTAAGAAGAAATGTTGGTTAATTTTGTGTGTAGTATCTTTTTTGACCACCGGATGGCAGTATAAGACCGTTTTAATTGAAGGATGGATAGTGAGGGAGCGAGCAGCGTGTCTCTAAGACAAATGGGAGGGAGGCCCCTTGACGTGACATGAGCTGTCTCTCCTTCCTTTTTTTGGTTCTCAGAATGGCGGACGCTCGGTGTGGTTTGAGCTCTTCTTCATAGCATTTTTCACACAAAGCTTTAATTTTAAAAATCAGTAAAAAAAATCTCAGCTTTTTTTTTGCAGATAAATTTTTTTTTTTACACGAAGGCACGGGTTTCAACCGTGGATTTTGGAGCTTCGACAAGATGGGTCCCCCCCCCCCCCCCCCGAGGTCGGCCTGTTAGCTTAGCTTCTCAGCTTAGCTGCTTTTAACGATCCAAAAACGCTATTTTGGATCGTTAAAACGGATTTTAAAGGGAAGAGAGAAAGGGAGGGGTCAGTGAAGAACACCGGAGTTGAACCTTTTGTCATCCAGTGTCTTCAGTAGAAAGAGAGAGACACAAAGAAACGATAAAGTCGAAAATGAGGTTGATAATTTGCTTTTATCATGCGATTAATTGATTTATTGTTTATCGCGACAGGCCAATCTGGATGGTTTCTTTTTTTTGTTGAGACATTTTGTCCTTCATCCAAAGGACTTCATCAATGTGAGTGTGCTGCTTGTGGGACTCCACTCCATTTTTTGTGGCTCCTTGAACTGATGAAGTCCTTTGGATGAAGGATGAAACATCTCAACAAAAACAGAAAGAAACCGTCCAGATGACCTGACTGAACTTTGTTGGATTTTGTACCTGGATTGTTGAAGCTTTGAAACTTTTCACAATTCTTTACACGAGAGAACAGAAAATCTGCACCATTTCCACGATGCTCCACTCAGGCAGAAGCCAAAAGATAAATCTACAAAATCCTTCAGTTTCCAAACACAAAACAAGGCGAGATGTTTCCTGCACGTGGAGAGGAATCCTCTGCAACCTGAGTCGACGCGTCCTTTTGAAGCTTTATTGCCGTTTCTCACACACCCTCAACAGCTGAATTCACTTTAATGTCCTCCAAGACCAAAACAAAATAACTTTTTGTGTTGTGTTTCAAGTCAACATGAATGTTCAGCTCATAAGAACATCACTAACCAAAGAAAAATTCAAATAACTTCCCATTTTTGTGTCGTTTTCCTGAACAAAAGGCTTCTTTGGCATTATTGTTCAATGGGGGTGTAAGGAGACTCCACGGGACGGGACCAGGCGAGATTATTTTTAGGAGAAACCTTTTGTCGGGCACTCACAGAGGAGTTTGAGAGTATTGTGGAAACTCTCAGGACATTAGAGTGAAACTCCTTTTTGAGTTTATTAGTTATTTCAACAGAGAAACGTTGCTCACACTGATTATTTGACAGCACACATCTCAGTAAACATTAGTCTATAATTTATTTTAAACATCCAACTAAAAATCAGACTTTTCCTTTTCAACTAAAACAAATTAACGAGAGGTTCGAAGTGGATTTCCTCGGCTTCAAAATCGATAATCGTGAAAACCTGACACCAAGTCTGTTTTTAATTTTACATAAATGTGCGCCAAAGACTCTTCCTCTCAACACGTAGCTATAGAGGCAGCAGAAAAGTGGGCGAAGCTGCTCGGAACACAGCTCGAGTGCCGTGCTGCATAATCCTAGTCCCTGACGTGTTTAAACTGCTGCCAGCAAAGGATTAAAGTGGTGAGAGGACTTTCTGTAATAATTTCACTGGACAAAGAAAATCAAATGGGATTTTTGACTTTGTCCAGACAGTTTGTGATCTGATGAGGATTCTTGACATTTTAGTCTCGATATCTCTTCGCACAATTATTGTTTAAAATGTCCTGATGTGGAAAAGAAAAGGAACGAGTAAAGATGCGTCAGCTCAGAAAGACTTCTTGCTCTTCATCTTCATCGTCAGACCCGTCTGCAGCTGAATCCTCACACTTGCAGTCGTTCAACAGCAAAGGCAGCTCAAGTTCTGAGCTCTTAATGTTGAGCTGCCGTAAAGAAGGAGCCTTATCTGGAAACAATGACACAAATATTACTCTAGATGCAGTAAGTGAAGCTAAACTCACAGCTTTATTCAGCTGATTTTAATCCTGTTCTTGTACAATAACATTTGAATACTTGAAGTTATTGCTGGCAAACAAAAGAGACATCTTACTTTTGGAATAGTAAGTCTTGAGTCCGATGTGTAACGACACGCCGCACAGACACACAGCAAACCCCAGCCAGTTGAGGACGCTCATTTTATCTCCCAGGTATGCTGCCAAAAGCAGCGTGCAAATTTCCTGCAGAACAAACAACAAACATCACAAAAGCTCTGTTAGATTAAAGTAACCTTAGTTGGTTTACTCCGAATAACTCGAGTTTGATGCGAGGAAAAGCTGGTGTTTTTTTTATTTTTTTGTGCAGGTTAATAACATTTTTATACGACAGCGTGGCAGATTGTATGAAACACGCAAAGTACCTTAACAATCCCTGATATGGACAAAGTGAGGCTGGAGGTTCGTGAGACGAGCAGAAACTCAGAAAAGCCCAAACCGAAGGCCAACGTGCCGCCGATACTGAGGGTGAGGAGGGAATACAGAAGAGGAGAGAGCTTCGTCACCCGGAATAACTTCTCGGAGGTGCTCAGGCTCAGCGCTGCAGGGAGACAGAAAGTTTTACATTGATTACACGCCGCTTTACAAGATGCAGAGAAACTCCTGCAGACGTTCTTCGTGCTAAGAGACCCGACGTTTTCCCCAAATCTAAAGGATTCCCTCCACTTGAACCGTCCCGACTGCGCTCTGCCTTTAAAGCAACGATGGAGCCACACTCCAGTTCTCTAAAGGCGTTATGGACACGTGTTGCTTTCTAAAAATCTGATGGTAGCATGTCTGTCTGACAACTTCAGCCACTTTCCATCGGTTCACCTAACAGCTCAGTCATTAACACAGGACGAGTGTGAAATGCTGCAGTCACATTAACAACAAGAGCACCGCAAGGCGAAGCTAAACACACCCAGAGATGAAAATACGTTTCCCTTCAAACTACTGGTACTTTCATTTAAACAATAATTTATACTGACTCGTTTTCACCAAGCAATAAATAAATCTTAAGACGTTACCGTCGTCTTTATTTGCCAAATGAAGTCTTGATTTAACTTTAAGAGAAGAAAAACAATGCTTTGTAAAAAGTGCAACGCCTGCTCAGGCCTGTCGCGATCAACAATCAATCAATTAATCGCATGAGAAATGAAAATTATCAACCTCGTTTTCGTTCATTGGTTGTATCGTTTCTTCGTGTCTCTCTCTTTCTACTGAAGACACTGGACGACAAAAGGCTCAACTCCGGTGCTCTTCACTGACACCTCCCTTTCTCTTTTCCCTTTAAAACACGTTTTAATCGTCCAAAATCGTGTTTTTGGATCGTTAAAAGCAGCTAAGCTACAAGCTAAGCTAACAGGCCGACCTCGGGGAAAAAACCTGTCTTGTTGAAGCTCCAAAATTCACGGTTGAAACCCGTGCCTTCGTGTGGAAAGTTGTTTTTCTCTGCAAAAAGAAGCTTTTTTTTATTAAAAGCTTTGTGTGACGAACCAGCTCAAACCACACCGAGCGTCCGACATTTTAAGAACTGAATAAAGGAGAGACAGCCCATGTCACGTCAAGGGGCCTCCCTCCCATTTTTCTTAAAGAGACACGCTGCTCACTCCCTCACTATCCATCCTTCAGTTCAAACTGTCTTATACTGCCATCTGGTGGTCAAAAAAGATACTACACACAAAAGTAACCAACATTTCTTCTTAAATTTGACAATAATTACTCATTATTGTCAAATTTAAAACAATATTATTGTTTATCGCAATAATTTCTGAGACAATTAATCGCCCAGCAAAATTTGTTATCGTGACAGGCGCCTGCTATAGATGACAAAAATTCTCCATACGGTGGCGCAGAGGTTAGAGAAGATGGGCCTGTGATCGGAGAGTCGCAGGGTCAACTCCCGGTACAGTCAACACCAAAATGTGGCTGGAAAAGGTGAAACACCCACACCTGCCTCCACCGTCATTCGCCTCGCTCTGGGCCCCTGAGCAAGGCACTTAACCCCCACCATCTGCTCCCTAAACAGGTCTCTCTTGAAAATGAGTTCTCGTGGCTCAATGAGACTACCTGGATAAATAAAGGGTAAATGAAAAAAAATACTAAAGGGTCATAACTCCTGTAAGAAAAGGTGCAGTACAAAATGTCAGCATAGTCTCTCATCATGATTATACTTCCCATAAAGTTTCTTCAGATTTCTTTTAAAAGGTGTAAGAGTTGAGCTGAGAGGGAAACTGACGGACAGCTAACTGGATGGACGGACATCTTGTGCCACAACATAACACGACCCACCGAGCGTATAAAACAAAGTTGGTCTAAACTTGGCATTAGAACATACACAGTGAAATCATTACCCGCCATACTTTATTAAAAATGTTCTTCCTCCATAGTTTTCTAGCCAAACATTAAAGGGCTCCTGAGCACAACGAAGCGTTTGGGCGATGGGAATAAACAGAACAAACAGAGCTTCTGCAGTTTTCTGTCAGTTACATTTAAAACATTTTCAGACATTTTAGACATCGAAAGTATTTGAATTTAAGACCCACGTGAATTAGCCAAAAATAACGAGTCATTGTAAAATTTCTTTGAAAGTAACCAGTTTTAACGCTTCAACTGAATTCAAAGTATTCTGAATAACTAAAACAAACCAGTTTCAGGAGCAGAGTGATCGAATTCTTCCTCAAGGAAAGTGAATTATATTCGTTTCTTTCGACTGCTCTCTTCTTCAGGGGTCAACACAGCGAACAAACTCGCAGCAAATGTTTTGACTCTGATGCAACCACTGAGCTACCACAGCCCACATGTGTGGAGCAGAGAGCTGCCATCCAGGGCGCCCAGGGGAGCAGATGGTGCCTTGCTCAAGGGCCCACAGTGGGGCAAATAAGAGTGGAGGCGAATGTGGGTGCATCAGCTTTCCCACCCACATTTTGATGTAACCATCCGGGGATTCGAACCTGCTACCTTCCGATCACAGGCTCGCCTCCTGTAACCTCTGCACCACCACTCCCCATCGAAAGCTAACCCCATTCAGCTTTTCAAATCTCAAAGCTGAATGTCTGTCAATAAGTTGCTTGTGAGAGGACTGCTGCATGATGGGACGTTATCAAACAGAACACCCAGAACAAATGAACGCAGACGGTGTCAACCACAGAAAATTAAAAAAATGATGGAGAAAGCAATGAGGGGGCGTGGTGGCGCAGAGGTTAGAGAAGGTGGGCCTGTGATCAGCAGGTCGCCGGTTCAACTCCCCGTACTGACATCAAAATGTGGGTGGGAAAGGTGAAGCGCCCACCTGCCTCCACCCTCATTTGCCCCAATCTGAGCACTTGAGCACCCTAGATGGCAGCTCTGCTCCACACAGAGGGCTGCGGTAGCGCGGCGGTCTGTGATTGTGTCAGGAAGGACATCCGGCGTAACAACAATCGCCAAGTCTTCGTGCGAGTTAGTTCTCTGTGGTGACCCCTGAAGAAGAAAATATTAATAATAATGGACGAAGCAATCAACGCACAAATTTAAGATGTCTCTAAATATATTTAAGACCGTTACGCCCACCGAGTTCTACGGGGTCTCTTAGAGGACAAACATTCTCCTTTGCTTGTTTGCAGGCCAGCTGTCTCACCATGCTGCACACCTGGAATCACTTCCTCCTCATCAGTGGGCTGCGTAAAAGCTTCAGTAGCTATGTTTACATGCGCAAAATCCTTTGACCGGATTGAAACGTTTTCAGATTCAATAATTCAAATGTATCGTTTACATGGGCTCAATCTGTTCATGACGAGCGTTTACCTGCAGCGGGCTTTGTTCTGAACCGAAGTGTGGTTGACTCTCAACTGAACTCTGTGTACCAAGTATTTTAACAACTCTGAGTCCATCTTCTGTGAACAGTTTTATTTAAGAACATTTGTTAAGATGAGAAGTTTGGTAGGGGTTGTCTGCCATTTTATTTGTAACTAACTTTTCTCCTGTTTTGTGGCCAGTCAGGGAGCTCAGGAACTGTAGTCTGTGTTTTGTTAAATAGGACGTGATTTTGTTTTCTAGCTAGAAGGGGGCATTGTTGTTTGTTGTTTAGGCCTTGGAGACCCTGAAGTTCATGGCATCCCTTCTGTCTGTAACGCCCAAAACCATTAGAAAAGGAGAATAAATTATTGTAATGCTAAATTGGGTTGTTTTTGAGTCAATAGCTTTATCTTTAGTTTACAATTTGTGTTACACCCTGTGCCCCATAGACTCATCCCAAGGGTTGTAACAAAGAACCTGCAGGAAGACGTCAAATCACGTTTTATGGTGCACTTTTATTTTTAGAGTCAGGAGTCACATTGAAAAGATAAAGTCAATGATGTCATACATACTATAACAACGAAACACTGAAAAGTGCTTCGTTAGTAAAATTATCAATAATCCTGTGCATGTTTATACAGTAAACATCCGATGATGCAACATTCTCATCAAAAAAAGAAAGATTTTAGATCATCCTTCACAAGGCGAGTTGTTTTCTTTTACTGGAGAACGTTCAGATACCATCAGGTCACGGAGGTCAATTAAAAGCAGCCACAGAACAAGACGAAAGCTCAGCTGAACAATTCTCACCTTCGTTATACAAGAAGAGGGGAAAGAGGCCGAGGAACATGAGCGGCTGAAGGTGGTACATGGTATCGATCGGATTCTGAAGACCTGAAAGAGAGAACACCGCAAAAACAACGTTTAACAGGAAGAAAACATTTTATCTTACACAAGTTAACATACTCTAAACAAAATATGTGTATGTAATATGAGTGCAGCAGAGGTACAGTATATTTGTATGTTTAAAATCTTTTCTCAGCTGGTTGTTGGCAACATTAAACCTTATTCTTGTTTTGGCCGTTCCCTCTTTAGAGGTCTTCACAGTGACTTCATCTCACTCTGTCCTCACTCCAGCTAACTCCATGTCCTCTCTAACTGCGTCCATATAGCTTCCTCATTTTCCTGGCAGCTGCATTTCTAACATCCTTCTACCAGTATACCCACTGTCCTGGTTCAAACATAAAAGAATTGAGCACAATTTGAGAAAAGTCAAGTCCTGTGACGAATACGATGTGTTCATAATGCGTTTCCAAATGTTCTATAAAAAGACGCTCTTTCAGGCTCTCGGTGAGCAGACTTGGGACGGAGCATCATGTAACATTTTGATGCTTGTATTTCAACACTGCTCCATATTGCAAGATTAAAACCTAGGACGAAGAAAATTATTCACCTCTTCTGTGTGGCATATTTATTTAATGAGCTATTGATAAGGATAGGATTATATTATCCTAACAGTATATGTACTGGAATGCAGGAAGGGTAAATTACAAAAGCGTTTTTTCTTTACAGCCACGTTTTTACACACTCAAAGCACAAGGCAGATAAACACAAAGTGTGACGGGGGTATCAGTGAGGTTTTACTAAAACACAAAGAGATACAAAAATCTAAATGTTTTTCTTAGCACAGTGAGTGAACTCACATGGCTGCCGTGTTATCCCAAATGCTGTTCCTGACACAGCCTGGGCTTGAACTTAGTCTCAGGATTATGAAACGACGGCACTGACCACTGAACTACAGTACTGCAGCCCCATCCATCCATCGCAGTGTTTCCCCTATCATTATACAAGCGGGACGCTCCGCCCCGTCAAGCACACACACTTGCTTCACCACTTGCTCTCGCCGAGATCGGATGCTTCTCCCCTCCCTCTCCGCTTTGCTGCTCTGTCTGTGAAATCGCTGTGAGCCTCTCTTGCATATCCTCTGAACCATAACTATGGACTTGTTTTGATCAGTTGGTCCCTCAACTCAATTTACAACATTTCTTCAAGAGAAGACAGGCTTTAGGTGAGCTGATTTGCCCTGTTGGCACGCACGCACCTGGATATCTCATCGACTTGAAGACTTGATGATGTGTCTATTTCTGCTGCCATCTGTGGATTTTAAGGACGCATATTTAATTGGATTTACGATAACTGGTTCCTGCTTTTTGGATTCGGCTGGTTGCTGGTTTTATCTACAATCAAGGAAGTCGTCGGCAGCAAATTTGGACCCGATCACGCTGCTTGCCTTTATGATGGCTTGGTTCGTGCCTCGAGTACCCAGACTCAAATGCTTTGGGCAGAATGGATCAGATCTTGGGGATTTTACTCAGTCACGTTCCATCGGTGTGGCCATGTAATTTGGACATTTCGGAACCAAGTTGACCAACACAGACTCAAGGTAGATGTCATTAAGTTCTGCCTGTCCCCAAAACAACTGTGTGTTTATCTGAAGTTGGCTCCCATGGCTGGCCTTGAAGGCCATCCTATCTGAATTCGCCTGGAGAACATGTGATCTGATGCTTACCACCCCCTCCCTGAGGAATTTCCAACTGATAACCAGATGAAACCAGCTGAATAAACATTGTGTCATCATTTCAGGACTCTTGGATTCTCATAGACGTCATTCTTGACCATTCCTCGACATATCTCGAGAATGTTTATGGATCGCACCGGAGGACACTGGCTGATTATTCCATCTTCATCAGAACTCTTACAGTGCCCTCGAGAGAGAGCATCTATGAATATGCTGACCGCTCCCCCCCGCAGAATGTCTATGTCACTATGTGCTTGTTTGTGCGAGGTGTTTTTTTTAATATTAGAGGGTTTTTTTCTCAGGCAGGAAAAAAAAAAGTCTGATAGGAATTTTTTTCGCCTCCAACTCCTACGTGTCCAGTTAACCACTGTTTTTGTCTGTCCAAACAGGTCTCACTTGTAAATGAGTCTTCGAGGCTCAATGTGATTTATCTGTTTAAATAAAGGTTGAATAAATGAATGAACACCCCGACCCACCTGTCGGCACTGACGAAACACAAAGCTAGCGGCTCGCAATACAGGTGCGCTAGCTAAAAAGCCAAAGGCTGTGCACGGCTCAGATGTGTCTGTCTCCCCCACCCCGCTCGAAAACAGCTCAGGATGCGTCTCTGTTTCCCTCCCCCCCACGGTCGACAAACATCACGGATGAGATGAGCGCCCCGACATGGCAAGTTATCTAAGGTAAACCCTGCATCCGTTATATTTATCTAACAGCTTCTTCCCTTTTTTTGAGTCATGGGGGTCACTGGTGCTCATGTCCAGTCATCACTGTGCGAGAGGCGGGGGACACCCTGGACTGGTCTCCAGTCCATCACAGGGACACAACGAGACAAACCATTTACTCTCTCTCTCACCTAGAGACAATTTAGAGTTACCAGTCAGTCTAACATGCATGTTTTTGGTCTGTTGGTGGAAACCGGAGTACCCGGAGAAAACCCACGCGTGCACGGAGTGAACATGCAAACTCCATCCACAAAGGGCCCCGGCTGGGATTTGAACCAGTGACCTTCTCGCTGAGGCAGCAACTCTACCAACTGCGCCACCGTGCCGCCCTCACACAAATACGTAAATCAAAATAATGTTTGAGTTATTGAATTTTTTAGCTATTTTAAAAAACTAAACCATTTTTCTTCACATTCGGAGCAGCTACTTATAAAAGCTTATAAATGTACACAACTACTGATTAAACACAAAGTAAGCAAATTCATATTATTAACAGACAAACATGTAACTGTTTATATCGCCTCAGTGCTCTTGAACACAGCGACATCACTTCACGTATATTTTCAACTCGACAATATCAGCACGAACCCAGCTCTGCTTTCTGCATGAGGACCTGAGTGAGCGTCCAGCGGATTCCCCCGATGAAGGACGCCAGCAGCACCATAATGAAGCCCTCCAAGTTGAACTGTGTCGATTCGAACGTAAACATGAAGAGACCGCTGGAAATCAGCAGGACCACCAGGATCAGGAAAGGGTTCTGATTCAGAAGAGAAACACGAGAACAAGTTTGTGTGACGTTCATAAAGTCTTTGTTTTTAAGCACGTCGCGTCTTAAATTTCAGCCGGCTCATAAAAAGTTTAGATTCTCTTCCAACTTTGCAACAACTTAATTCTCTATGCTGCGGTTAAATACCGTTTCAGCGTCATCGTGACAACGCATTCACTGCACAAGTTTCAAGATAAATGAACGCGCACTCACGGGTTCCTCGAGCTTGAACACAAGAGAGAAAAAGAGGATAAACAGCACCGCCGAGGACTTGGTCATGGTGTACCTTGAATGAAAGAAATAATCAGAAATTAGGATGAAACAACCAAACAAATAATTAAATAAAGACGTGACTGTCAGAAGTGGGTCTTTTCAAACTTACAAGCTAATGCTGATGAAGAGGAAGCTCCAGTTGGACAGCCCAATATCCAGTGCTGTTGCTAAGGCTGATGATGAAACACACGGTGTGAGTTTTTGTAACGTTGACTCGTCTTATAAAACCAACTTCCTGACGTCTGGTCCTCAAAGTTTACCGTCCTTTAAGCTTTAGTGGTCTTTCTGCTTAAACACAGTTATTGTAAATTTAAAGTGTCATTAACAGGCTTCTGTTGAAATTCATGAGAAGCCATGAAATTCCTTTAATCGCCTGAATCAGACGTGTTGGGAGCAGAGACTCAGTTAAAGCATCAGTTCCAACTCTTTCAGCTTCGGACACACAAAATAAAAGTTGTAGAAGTATGCAAGTGTTGCTCATTAATCACTTAATGGGCTTTGTCAACAGTTATATTTGATTCTTTTATGACAACTGTTTTAACTCTTTGTAACAGTTAAGACTAAATAATATTGCAATATACAGAACCAGTAACCACGGATTTAAAACATGCACACCAGTGGGCCTTGAGGACCAGGACATGCGGTACATGACATGATGTCACTGTTGGCCTTCAGCTTCTTTTCTGACCCCGTAAGTTTCAGAATAAAACGTCCGAGTCCACCTGTACCTGTTGGCGCCACTTTACGGAGGTAGTCTGTCCATTTCAGGACGACGCGTGGTTTGCCTGTCCAGCGCTGCATGGCCCATCGGGTCAGAGCCGACAGACAGAAATTGACGGCGAGATGAACCAGTGTCATGAACAGAGGATAGTGGAAGCCCTGCGCCAGACGAAGAAGTAGTCAGGATCATGTTTGGCTGCTGTTGGACAGTTTTTCAAACTGAAGGGCCAAAGAGACCAGGGAATGGCCTTAGGTCAGACAGACACACATAAAAATAAATAAAGGACTCCGCTAGGATTCCCTTTATTTTTTTATAGTATAAATAAATACCGCCCTAGAAAAAGGACACACATGACATGTAGGAAACTGCTTCTTCATCTCTTTCACTTACCTTCATAAGCCATTTGTTATAGAACGTGATGCCTATGGAGAAGACATAGTAGAGAAGGATCAGTCCAACAGTGGAAAGCCCCCGGAAAAGGAACTGGGCCGGGCAAGCCATCCAGGACTGCCGGGATCAGCTCCAGAGAAATACGGCTACTATAGAGAAACCATCTCTAAACGGACTCTGGACTTCCTCATAACATCCTTGTGGATTTGCTGTAGGAATCTGTGTTAAAAAGACAACAATATATATATAATCATGCTAGTGCTCATAATAAAGATGAATTAACAATGATACCTATAAACAGTGGGACTGAAGTTGTCTGAATGATACGTTTCTCCTTGTAGGAACATTTTATACTAAGTCTTTTTCACTCTAATGAAGCGTTGTATGAAACGCTGCATCAAGACGTACCAAATATTTGTGACCCGTGCTGTTTGAGGAAGCGACTGATTTGAATATTTGGCGCTGCTTCATTTGTTGTAAGGACACGTAAAGTGTTCAGTGTTCTGTCACTGTTCTGTAGCGTGTAGAGACAATGATTCTCAGAATGAGGAACCAGCTCACTGCTTATGACTTCATTTGTTTTCATGTTGGAACTGGAATCAACAAGATGTGTGAATGATTTAGAAGAGCTAAAAAGTGCAGTTGACCACTTTATGTCACCGGTACGATCTGTCTGAATCACAAATCAGGAAAATCAGAAAGTCATCTCTAAAGCATGGAGTTCCTCAGGGGTCAGTGCTTGAGCCAATACTCTTTACTTTATATATGTTTCCATTAGTTAATGTCATGAAACAGCATGAGATACATTTTCATTGTTATGCTGATGATACAGTTATATTTGTCCATGAAACCCAATGAATCCAATCAGCTACTTAGACTACAAGCATGTCTTAAAGACATAAAAACCTGGATGGCCCTTAATTTTCAGCTTTTCAATACAGACTGAGGTTTTGGTTTTTGGGCCTGAGCATCTTAGGAATAAATTTTTCAGTCTTTTGTCCTCCTTAGATGGCATCAATCTGGCCTCTAGTTCCACTGTTAAAAAGTTTGATGTTATTTTTGATCAGGACATGTCTTTTATCCCCCACACTAAAAACTTTACAAGAACCACCTTCTTCCACCTGCGTAATATCACTAAAATTAAAAACATCTTATCCAGAAAAACTGGTCCATGCATTTGTCACGTCTAGACTGGACTACTGCAATGGTTTGTTATCTGGGTGTCCAAATACTTCTTTAAAACGTCTTCAGTTGATCCAAAATGTTGCTGCCAGAGTCTTAACTGGAGTTAGTGGGAGAGATCATATCTCTCCAGTTTTAGCTTCTCTCCATTGGCTCCCTGTCAAATCCAGAATAGAATTCAAAATCTTACTTCTAACCTACAAAGCTCTCAACAACCTAGCTCCATCTTATATTACACATCTTATCGTTCCATATTTCCCCAACAGAGCACTTTGCTCTCAGACTGCAGGTTTACTTGTGGTTCCTAGAGTTTCCAAAAGCAGGATGGGAGGAAGATCTTCCAGTTATCAGGCTCCTCTCTTGTAGAACCAACTTCCAGTTTCTGTCCGTGAGGCCGACACATTGTCCAGTTTTAAGACTTTCCATTTTGATAAATCCTATAGTTAGGGTTGGCTTATTATGCTGCCTTAAGCTTAGACTACTAGAGGACAAATTGACCTAATTTCCTTAAATGATTTGCTAAAATTGAATAGTTTTTATTTGATATTATTTCTATCTGAACATGCGATTCTTGACCTGCCATTGTGTATCTGTTCCTCTCAAACCCAGCCGGTTGAAGCAGATGGACGCTTGTCCTGAGCCTAGTTCTGTTAAAGGTTTCTTCCTCATGAGGGAGTTTTTTCCTTTCCACTGTCGCCTTCATGCTTGCTCAAGATGAGAGTTCTGTGATGGAGTTAAAGTCAAAGCAGTCTCAGATAAATAATGTTAATTTATTATTGTTATATATGAATGTTTCTGTTCGGTGCCCTGAGACGACTTCTGTTGTGATTTGAGCGTCACAAGGCTTCACCCGTTCATCTCTACTGTTTCAGATAAACTCAGTGTTGATTCTAGATAAGAATCCTGTGAATATATCTGGAGCTGGGAGCAGTTGGTTATCACTGTTGCCTTGAAGCCAGGTTGCAGGTTTGTCTATCAGCTGAGGCCTTTCTGCCTGGAGTCTGCACATTCTTCTCATGCATAATGCTCTGGTTTCCTCCCACAGTCGAAAAACATTTAGGTTAGGGTAAATGGTGACAAACTGTCACCAGGTTGTGTTGTGAATTGTTCATCTTTGGTGGACTGGCAACCTGACCAGAGTGTACTTTGTCTTTTACACATGATCACAGGAGAGAGACACCAGCTCCTGTGACCCAAACAGAAACCAGTGGGTAAAGAGACTCAATAAATACCGTGTTGCATCAAGGTTTACTAACCCATAGAAATTTGTTTCCCCACCTAAGTCTATGTTTTTAGCCATCGGGTGTGTTCCACCTGCTAAAATGTACATACTTAGCACAGAACAATAAAATCCTCTGAACACATATGTCATGGGAAAACGAGTCCGTTTGTGTAATCTTATTTTCCTAATGAGCACTGGGGAAATTGCAATTAGAGGTGACAATTAGCCATCAAAATGCATATTCTACTAAAAACACAAAAAGAACAAAACCTTTTCACTTTTCTTAAAACACTGTTGCTTAAAACAAC